CTCCACCCTTTCTCAGCAGGGATCAGCTGAGCAGATCCCAGGAAGATCTCTGTTGGAGGATCCAGAACAGGAGTTTTTCCCAAAAATCAGTTGGGATGTGGAATCACAGACGATTCACTCAATGAGAACCACCAGCCCATCACAAGACACCCAGAGAGCCCTCCACACTCCCGTCTTGAATCAGGCAGGGGAAGGATCAAAGCCCCATCACTGCAGGCCTAGCTAACAGGACAGTCATGGACTCCACCTGCTTCTCAAGGCTTCCCTGGGTCCTCCTCAGGGTCACCCTAAGGGAACTGTTATCCAGGGTCCTGCATGGCTAGACTAAGACAGGGAGAGTGCTGAGGTGGGTAGATCATGAAGTCAGATCGAGACCATCCTGGCCAACATGGTGAAACCCTGTATCTACTAAAAATACAAAAAGTAGCTGGGTGTGGTGGCACACACCTGTAATCCCAGCTACTCAGGAAGCTGAGGCAGGAGAATCACTTGAACCTGGGAGGCAGAGGTTGCAGTGAGCCGAGATCGCGCCACTGCACTCCAGCCTGGCGACAGAACAAGACTCTGTCTCAAAAAAAAAAAAAAAAGAAGACAAGGAGAGGACCACAGCATAGCTTTGGGTCTAGGCTCTGACTAGGCCCTGCTTTCTAAGCCTATAGAAGGCGCAGCTGTGAGGAGGGGGCTAGCACCCGCTGGCTATTGAGGTCTAGTCTAAAAGCAAGGTTCGGGATGTATGGGAGAAGATACATTGGCTTAGGGGAGCAGAGACGGTCAGAAGGAGGTGCTATAGTGATGTTCTTTTCAGAGGAGCAACCAAATAAAATGCCAAGAGAGGCTCCATGTGGCAGCTGGTCCCTGGCAACCATAACCAGGACTCCAGGGCTGCATCACACACCCGAACCAAAATGAATGTCCAGGGAGTGTGAAAAAGCTGCCCCAGAACCGCAGGTAGTGACAGATCCAGCACCATGTCACACCTGGTTATTAGTACTGTGGGACTTTTCATCACGAAATTACAAAATCCAGGAGCACTTCAAACCCAAATGATTCCAGAGCAGACCACGGGAAGAAAGAGACGCAGGTATTTCCAAGGGGCAACTCTGAGGGATACTGCAGAGGGAGTGAGCAGGGGAAGATTTTGTGTCTATGTCCACCATGAATCTAGAAAGACAATTCAATTTTAAAAGAAACATTTTGGCCGGGTGCAGTGGCTCAGGCCTGTAATCCTAACACTTTGGGAGGCTGAGGTGGGCAGATCACTTGAGGCCAGGAGTACGAGACCAGCCTGGCCAACAAGGTGAAACCCCCATCTTTACTAAAAATACAAAAATTAGCCGGGTGTGGTGATGCATGTGCCTGTAGCTATTAGGGGGGCTGAGGCACGAAAACTGCTTAAACCCAGGTGACAGAGGTTGCAATGAGCTGAGATTGCACCACTGCACTCCAGCCTAGGCGACAGAGCAAGACCCAGTCTCGAAAAGAAAAAAAAAAGTCACATTTTAATTGAGCTACTAATATGGATTAGGCCCTCCTCTGAACCCCTTATACATGTATTTTCTCATTTAATTCCGTAACCATCCTATATAGTTTAAAGATGAAGCAGTTAAGGCTCAGAAAGTTTAAATGGCTTGGCCAACAGCACACAGCTAATTAGTGGCAGAGCTGGGATCTGAACCCCAGCAGTCTAACTCCAAGACCACAATGAAATACCTCTTAGAATGCCCATACACTTCAGAAGAAAAAGTTTTGAACCAAGACTCAAGGAACCTGGATTCTGGGATAATTATGCCAATTACCGCCCCTACTTATGCAATCCTGAACAACTCATCTCAGCTTCTTAGACCTCAGCTAATCTGTAAGTTAAGAGGTTGAGCAGAGTAAGGAATAGCAAGTGAGTGCCTATGTGCCTCTCCTCTGTGACTGCACTCATGGCACACATCAGACATCACTAATCAACCACAGCATGCACTCAGTGAGTCCTGGTGATGACCTGCTTATTCTCCAGGCTGCCCTCAGACAACCACTACTAATCAACTAGAGTTTGCAAATGAAATGTCTTTGCTTTTCCAGAGCTAGATTTTTTTTTTTTAATTTTAAAATACACTTACTTCCTGTTGATTTGCAAGACCTAGATGTTTCTAAGCTGTCTTCTGACTAAAAACCTACACTCTGTTACTGGGGTCCTGAAGACAAAATTTTAATTCTAGCCCTAACTCCAAGTAGATTGTTGTCTCTATGCCTCAGTCTTCCTTCTCTCCTTCTGGAAGATGGACATTATGTCACACCATCACTTATATGGTCAACTCCACTTTCTCCCCTGCCCCAATGAACTGCACTCCAAGCTAATGCCCAAACTGAGTTATACAGACAGAGTCTGCTCTCAGTGTGGACCTGACAGGGCCTGATCCCCACACTGCCTTTCTAAGGGAGTCTAACAGAGGGGAGAACTAAGGCCAAAGACACTGACATGATAGGATAAAGGGGCACAGATTCCTTTGCATTAAGCACTGTGTTTCCAGAAGGTTCCGATAAAAATGAGAATATTCCCTAGAGGTGTTATAAGAAATTATGATCAGGCCAGGCGCAGCGGCTCACACCTGTAACCCTAGCACTTTGGGAGGTGGATCGCCTGAGCTCAGGAATTCGAGACAAGCCTGGCCAACATGGTGAAACCCCATCTCTACTAAAATACAAAAATAATTAGCCAGGCATGGTGGCACACACCTACAGTCCCAGCAACTTGGGAGGCTGAGGCACAAGAATTGCTTGAACCCAATTGCTTGAACCTTCAGGCAGAGGTTCCAGTGAGCCAAGATCACACCACTGCACTCCAGCCTGGGCAACACAGTGAGATTCTGTCTAAAAAAAAAAAAAAAAAATTATGACCTGTCATTGACATCCTGGCAGGAGTTTCTTTATATGTCTCTCCAGCCAGCCCAACTAACCTAGAGCAGATTTCTATGAAATGGGACAGGTTACAAATGTAAGTTCTGTTTCAGGGAAGACCATCCTAAAAGGAAGGTGGCACTAGCGGGTATCTGGAGAGGGCAGTTGCTAGTGGCTGAGAAAGCTTAATGAATAGAACATACTACACAGCTGCCACGGATACTTGCATTTTAATAAGGAACAGAGTTTAGGCCAAAGGAATTACTTTCTAATGGTGAAATTACAAGCATCAATAATGATTTAGGGAAGAATTAAGCAAAGAAAGTTGTTCCAGCATCCCTGAAATCCCAACAAATGAGCTGATGTGACTGTGCAAGCCCTCAGCAAACAGCAAATGAGCTGCAAATTTAAGGGATTAATAATATTATTACTGGCAACCTGTGACTCCGCCTGCGGTGAGCGAGCCTGCCACCACACAGACAAACCCAGATGCCCACAGGAGCCCAGGACACGTACTCCTTGGTCTGGAACGCATCCATTTGGGAACCCAGTTGCCAGAAAAGCTGAAGAGAACTCTTCCCTCCATCTGCCCCTTAATCACACACACTGAGAAGATGCATAATTAATTTGTTCTCAACAGTTGTTCTGCGGCTAGAAGAGTGAGGGCATCTCTGGAATGGCAATTACAGACAAGAAAAACAAGCATTAGTCTGCGAGTGGAATACAGCAGCCAGCCTGCTTCCCTTCCCCACCACACCTGCTCAGGCCACAGGCCTGAATGGGGGACACGAGTCTTTTTCATTTCCTCACAGCCTTGGGCTCTTGGGGGCTGGTGGGAAAGAACAGAAAACAAAACTCTGGCCAGACAAGGTTTCTCATGCCTGTGATCCTAGCACTTTGAGAGTCTGAGATGGGAGAATTACTTGAAGCCAGGAATTTGAGACCAGCCTGGGCAACTTAGTACAGCCCCACGTCTAAAAAATATTTTTAAATTAGTTAGGAGCAGTGGCATATATCTGTAATCTTGGCTCCTCAGGAGGCTGAGGCAGGAGAATCACTTGAGCCCAGGAGGTAGAGGCTGCAGTGACCCATGTTTCAGCCACAGCACTCCAGCCTGGACCTGATCTCAAAAAAAAAAAAGAAATACCCTCAGCCAGGTGTGGTGGCTCAGACCTGTAATCCTAGCACTTTCAGAGGCCAAGGCAGGTGGGTCACTTGACGTCAGGTGTTCGAGACCAGCCTGGCCAACTGGTGAAAGCTGTCTCTACTATAAACACAAAAATTACGTGGGCATGGTGGTATACACCTGTCATCCCAGCTACCTGGAAGACTGAGGCAAGGGGATCACTTGAACCTGGGAGGCAGAGGGTGCAGTAAGCTGAGATCATGCTACTGCACTCCAGCCTGTGTAACAGAGTAAGACTTCATCACAAAAAAAAAAAAAAGAAAGAAAGAAAAGAAAAAAATACCCCAAAAGATACAGGGAGGAAGGCCTCACTCTAATCTCAGAGAGAGAGCTAAAATAGGCACAAAGCTCAGGGCCAATGTGAAGACCAACAGGCAGCACAGTTGGGGGACAAGTGAACACACATAGAAATTAGATGAAATTAAAGAACTCCTGTTAATATCATTAGCTGAGATAATCACAGTGTGATAACTTAGAAAAATATCAGTTGTTAGAGATGCACAGAGCAATTACAGGTGAAATGCCATGATTTCTATAATTTGCTGAAATTTGTCAGCGAAAAAAATAATGAAAGAATTGACAAATTTTTTGTTTGTATGTTGTGTTTCATTGTTTTACAGAGACAACATCTCGCTCTGTCACCCAGGCTGGGGCACAACATAGCTTGATCATAGCTTAAGCCTTCTTAATCATAGCTCTCGGCAGCCTCAAACTCCTGGGCTTAGGTGATCTTCCTGCCTCAGCCTCCCAAGTAGCTGGGACTACAGCTGGTCTAAATCTCCAGGCCTCACATGATCCTCCTGCCTCGGCCTCCTAAAATGCTGGGATTACAGGCGTGAGCCACCACACACAGCCAGTTTATTTCTTAATCTGCTGACCTTGATAGTGAAATTATCCAGAATCTCTCAGATTGGCCTGGTGTAATCACCATGGCTTTTATAAGTAGAAGAGAAAGGCAGAAGGGAGCAGAAAGATGGAAGGGGGAGAAGGACTTAGCCGGATGTTTCAGGCTTTGAAGATGGAGGAATGGGACCGTGAGCCAAGGAATGCGGGCAGCCTCTACAAGCTGGAAAAAAAAAAAAAAGAAAGGAAAAGAATTCTCCCCTAGAGCCTCCAGAAGAATCACAACTCTGCTGACACCTTAATTTTCTCCCAGTGAGAATCATTCCAGACTTCTGACCTCCAGAACTATGAGAATAAATGTATTGTGTGAAACCACTATGTTTGTAAACATTTGTCAGAGTCTTAAGTCATAGGAAACTAATACAGTAGCCATCTTGAAATTCTTCATTACTTTTGAATTTGTGTTTTGGAAGTGAAGCCTGATGGGACAAAGGAAGGTGTACTGGGAGATTCAGCTTCACACAGTCCCACCTCCTTGGCTGATCATTCCCTGCCCCCAGTACCCTGACTCTGCCTACCTCCCTACCTTTTCTTTGAGACAGGGTCTCTCTGTCCCCCAGGCTGGAATGCAGTGGTTCAATCTTGGCTTGCTGCAGCCTTGACCTCCTGGGTTCAAACGACTCTCCTGCCTCAGCCTCCCGAGTAGCTGAGGAGGTGTGTGCCACCATGCCTGGCTAATTTTTGTATTTTTAGTTTCACCATCTTGCCCAGGCTGGTCTCAAACTCCTGATCTCAGGTCATCCACCTGCATTGGCCTCCCAAAGTGCTGGGATTACATACCAGCCACCATATCTGGCCCTGCCTCCCTACTTCTATCTGCTGTCACTGCTGCTGTCTGCAACCAGTGCACTGGGAAGAGGAGGCCTGCACTGTGCCATTGCTCTCCGTCCCAGCAGGCAGACTTGACACAGGCATGGGGAGGGTTGGGGTCACATCGTGTGCAAAGTGTTATCCAGCCCCATCCTAGACTAGTACAGCCACAGCAAGGTGAGCATACAGCTCAGCCAGCACCTTTCACTCACCCCTATCTAGATCCTGTGCATGCCCCAGCACACAGCTTGCCATTTCCTGGGAACTGCCCATCCTTTGAAGGTTGGGGCAGCAGGGCCATGGGAAGGGAGGCTGACTTCCCCATGCCCAGCCAGAGCCCAGCATTTGCATTTGCACTATTCCCATAATCACATGGTCGGCCCTGCCTCTTCTTCTCTCAGTCTCCCTGTAGCCCTTCACTTGCTAGTTCTTTATCATTCTTCAGTTTTAGCTGAAAAACCTCATGCAAGAGAGCCCTTCCCCAGCCTCTTCCACAGCCACTCTTTATCCCATGACTACATTTAACTCCTTTAGGGCACTCAGCAAGAGTTGAAATGACCTTGTTTCCTTACCACACTGATTCCCTGAAAAGTATACACTGAGACCACCGTGTGCCAAGCACTGTTCTTTGCGCTGCAGATGCAGCAGCAAGCAATACAAAACAAGTCCCCTACCCTCCTGGAACAGATGTGTTTGTAAGTTCCATCATTATGAAATTATCTCTTGTCCTCCCAAGAACAGACCATTGTATGCCCAGCACCCCACACAGTGCCTGGCACATAGTAGGCATTTACTAAATATCACTGAACAACTGGCTGAATGAATAGTGGCTTAGATACTCTGCACTGTGACCAGGCACCGCGGAGACATCCCTCTTCATTCTATAATGTGTTGGGGAGTAAAAATCTTTCCCACAAGTAAAAAGCTGGAGGGGGGCCAGGTGCAGTGGTTCATGACTATAATCCCAGCACTTTGGTAGGCCAAGGCAGATGGATCACTTGAGACTAGGAAGAAACCAACCTAGGCAACATGGTGAAACCCCATCTTTACCACAAATTCAAAAAATTCGGCTTGGCGCGGTGGCTCATGCCTGTAATGCCAGCACTTTGAGAGGTCAAGGCAGGTGGATTGCCTGAGGTCAGGAGTTCGAAACCAGCCTGACCAACATGGAGAAATCCCATCTGTACTAAAAATATAAAAATTAGCCGGGCGTGGTGGTGTATGCCTATAATCCCAGCTACTCAGGAGGCTGAGGCAGGAGAATCACTTGAACCCAGGAGGCGGAGGTTGCGGTGAGCCAAGATTGAGCCATTGTACTCCAGCCTGGGCAATAAGAGCAAAACTCCGTCTCAAAAATAAATAAATAGGCCAGGTACGGTGGCTCATGCTTGTAATCCCAGCACTTTGGGAGGCCGAGATGGGTGGATCACCTGAGGTCGGGAGTTCGAGACCAGCCTGACCAACATGGTGAAACCCCATCTCTAAAAAATAAATAAACAAAAAATTAGCCGGGCACGGAAACGCATGCCTGTAGTCCCAAGTACCTGGGAGGCTGAAGCGGGAGAATCACCTGAGCCTGGGAAGTCCAGGCTGCAGTGAGCCATGATTGCACCACTGCACTCCAACCTGAGTGATAAGGGGGACACCCTGTCTCAAAAATAATAATAATAAATTGGAGGGGAAGATCATTTTAAAGACAGATTGGGGGTACGGGAGGGACAGCACCCCAGTTCCTGAACCACCTTGCCTTAAATTAGCCTCACATATATTTAAGTAAAGTTATTCCATTAATTGGACATATGTCTCATGGTTCTACAAGGAAAAGTCTATTAAAAAGTCTTGCTGTAACAGGCAAGAGCTTTGAGAGTAGTTTTATTCAGGGACAGGAAGAGAGCTGAGCAGATTTTAAGTTGGTAGAAAATAGCTGCTTGGGGCCAAGACAGTGATAAATAGGAAATCAAGAACAGGCTATTAGATTACTATTGCTGTTAACAAGCATCTCGATCACCCTTACAGCTGCGGAGTGCCTTCCATCAGTTTTATTAGTTATATGACGGCCTTCCATCTAGCCCTGCTATTCCAGTGATTCCCATTTTGGAGATGCAGCCACTGAGGCAAGAGAAACACATCTTTTTTTTTTTTTTTTCTTTTTTGAGATGGGAGTCTTGCTCTGTTGCCCAGGCTGGAGTGCCGTTGCGTCATCTCGGCTCACTGCAACCTCCACCTCCTCCACCTCCCAGGTTCAAGTGATTCTCCTGCCTCCGCCTCCTGAGTAGCTGGGATTACAGGTGTGCACCACCATGACTGGCTAATTTTTTTGTATTTTTGATAGCGACAGGGTTTCACCATGTTGGTCAGGCTGGTCTCAAACTCCTGACCTCTTGATCTGCCCACCTCTGCCTCCCAAAGTGCTACGATTACAGGTGTGAGCCACCTTGCCCAGCCAAGAGACACACTCATCCAAGCCAGTATGAGTCTGTCCTTACGGCAGCTGTAGCCTCACTTCATGAACATATTAATGTGTGGGAATTTTCTGAGTCCAAGAGGAACAGCCCAAAGGGATTCAGGAGAAACTGCAGAGGGCTGAGGGGATGGGAGAGAGGTGGAGAAAAACACACTGAAGTCTCGAGGCTTGACAAATGGCTCAAATGCCCTGATCCAACACACAATCCCATGCCGTATGGACCATGGCCTGGAGGAACCCTGGGAACTCATCCAGTCCAGATTAGTGAGCCAGGGAGTAGAGTGGTTCTAGGCACAGCCTCAGGAGCTGCACCATTTGGGATGAAATCTAAGTTCCTGTAGCAGGTTGAATGGTGGCCCCCAAACCGATGTGCATGTCCTAATCCCTGGAACCTGTGACCGTAACCTTATTCAGAAAAAAGGGTCTTTGCAAATGTAATTAAGAATTCTTAACATGAGGCTGGGCATGGTAGCTCACACCTGTAATCTCAGCACTTTGGGAGGCCAAGGTGGGCAGGTCACTTGAGCCCAGGAGTTGAAGACCTGCCTGGCCAACATGGCAAAACCCCACCTCTACAAAAAATGCAAAAATTAGCCGGGCATGGTGGTACATGCCTCTAACCCCAACTACTTAGGAGGCTGAGGCAGGAGAATCACTTGAACCCAGGAGGCAGAAGAGATCATGCCAGTTCACTACAGCCTGAGCAACGGAGCAAGACTGTCTCAAAAAAAAAAAAAAAAAAAAATTTAAGATGAGATCATCCTGGACTGCCCAGGTAGACCCTAAATCTAATGACAGTTGTTGTTAATAAAAAGAGGAGGTAGGCCAGGCATGGTGGCTCATGTCTGTAATCCCAGCATTTTGGGAGGCAAGGCAGGTGGATCACCTGAGATCAGGAGTTCGAGACCAGCCTGGCAAATATGATGAAACCCTGTCTCCACTAAAAATACAAAAAATTAGCCAGGCAAGGTGGCAGGCACCTGTAATCCCAGCTATTCAGGATGCTGAGGCAGGAGAATCGCTTGAATCTGAGGGTCAGAAGTTGCAGTGATCCAAGATCATACCATTGTACTCCTGCCTTGGTGACAGACCAAGATTCTATCTCAAAAAAAAAAAAAAAAAAAAAAAGAGGAAGTAGAGGCAGAGATTGCAGTGATGCAGCCGCAGGAATGCCTGGTGCCATCAGAAGAGACAAAGAAGGGTTCTTCCCTAGAATGCTTCCCACCAGCAGAATGGTCCTGAGGGCACTTTGATTTTGGGCATCTGGCCTCAAGAACTGTAGGAGAATAAACTTCTATTGCCTTAAATCACCCAATTTATGGTAATTTGTTATGGCAATCACAGGAAATTAATACACCCGCTTGCTAGCTGTGGACCCTTGAACAAGTCACTCCATCTATCTGTTCATCAGTTTCTTCATCTGTAAAATAGGGATGATAGCAATGGTATCTCACAGGGCTACTGTGAGAATTAAATGAGATAATAGAGACTCCTAAGTACAGTGCAGCAGAAGCCATCTTCATCCATTTGTGCTGCTATAACAAAATGCTCAAGACTGAATCACTTTTAAAAAAAAAACAAACAAGGCCGGGCACGGTGGCTCATGCCTATAATCCCAGCACTTTGGGAGGCTAAGGCAGGCGGATCACCTGAGGTTGGGAGTTCGAGAGCAGCCTGACCAACATGGTGAAACCCTGTCTCTTAAAAAAAAAAAAAAAAAAAAATTTGTATAAAAAAAAGAAAAGAAAAAAACAAACATTTTTTAAATAGTTCTAAGAGCTGGGAAGCCCATGACCAAGAGACCTGTACCTGGCAAGGGCCTTCTTGCTGGGTCATCCCATGGTGGAAGGTGGAAGAGTAAGAGAGCCCACGAAAGGGCAGGGGTTGGG